GAAGGGGATGGAAATCGAACGTTTGAGCGGGGGGGGGGGGGGGTGCAAATCGAAAGTTTTGTCCCCGGGTGACGGAAAGGGTCGCTACGCCTCTGGAAGGAGTTTGTCGATTTAAAATAGGTGGTGCCCGCCACCCTACCGATATTTTAGAATGTGCTCTAGAGTAAAAAAAGGTTGGGAACCCCTGTATTAGAGCTTAATCCTACATACCATGTATTAAAACATGCCCTTACATACCTTACACTCAGTGTTTCTTCCAGACTTTTTTCTCCGGGGGGGGGGGCACTTGAAATTTTCGGGGGGTGGGGGGAAGGTAGACTTTCTTCGTGGGGGCGGACACTGTTAAAAGTATATATTTTTTATATAAATTTCATTTCTTTCGGGGGGGGGGGGGGACGGTAGAAGAAGATGCTTGGAAGAAACTCTGCTTACACTTCACACCACATATTTGATACCTTATCACACATACCATATAGATCAATTATACCCCTTACAAAACATACCATTTCAAAGTTTACACCTCACCCCCACATACCATAACTACATCTTCCAGACTTTTTTCTCCGGAAGGCGGGGGGGGGGGGGGTTGGGGGAGGAGGCAGACTAAAAATTCCGGTGGGGGGCGGACACTGTTCTGGGGAGGGGGGGGGTAGAGATGACTGGAAGCAACTCTGATACCATATATCATACACCTGACCCCACATACCATACATCATTTACCAGACACCGCATACCATACATCATACACAATGCACCACATACCATACACCACTTTCTATATATCAGACACCATACACCACGTATCACATATCAGACACCTTACACCACATACTACATGTCAGACACCATACACCACATACTACATATCAGACACCTTACACCACATACTACATGTCAGACACCATACACCACATACTACATATCAGACACCATACACCACATACTATACACCACGTACTATATATCAGACACCACATACCATATATCAGACACCATACACCACATACCATATATCAGACACCATACACCACATACCATTACATTACACTGTGTTGACTGTAACAGAGCCTCTGCTCAACAGACCGTGTCGACACGGTAGACCTGTGACGTAATACATCCTCTGTTATCACGTGACTCCCTAATGGAGAAGCTACCCAGGAGGGGCGGGGCTGTTTCTCTCGAGGTCTAGTAAAAAAAATCTGGTAGCGTTAGCACTTTTTGACCCTATTCCTATGGAAAACATAGCAACCGCCGGCATGTGGTGTTAGATAGGCTTTTGGTATCCCTACTTATTCCTACCCTACTCTAGACTTTTGGTATCCCTACTGAGTCCCTACCCTACTCTAGACTTTTGGTATCCCTACTGATTCCCTACCCTACTCTAGACTTTTGGTATCCCTACTGATTCCCTACCCTACTCTAGACTTTTGGTATCCCTACTGAGTCCCTATCCTAACCCTACTCAACAACTTAACAGCTGCTTCAGTTGCAGTTAAATGTGCATAACAATAATACTATGTTGACATATTCGAGTGGTTCATTTAATAGCCTAATCGTCTCCTATTTAAATATCTATTTAAAATATGTGTAAGGGGGGGGGGGTGAGTCGTCGGGAAGGGGTGGGGGAGTCGGTCGCTTAGTTAAATGCAGTGTTTGGTCGGTGTTACGGCAAAGTACCCCCATACACACACTCCCCAATTCTTCAAACTGAACACACACACACACACGCACCTTGAAACAAGTTTGACAGCTATCGCATACCTGTAGCTTGTGTATGGGGAAACGTTTGCCCTTCCCCCTTCCCCTTATAATTTTAGCATGCTTGATTAATTAATTAATTAATTAATTTAATATAACATCTGGCCCGCGTGTCTGTGCACATTCATTAAAAATGAAACGTAAACACCGACACAACAGTAACTACAACATAAGTAAACAACGAAAACCGAGTCAACATTAAGTGAAATGCGAACAACGAAAACCGAATCAACAGTAGCTGTAGCTACAAATTGTAAGAACAACGAAAACCGAATCAACAGTAACTGAAATCGAAACAACTAATACCGAATCAACATTGAGTGAAAACGAAACAACGAACACCGAATCAACAGTAACTTAAATGTAAGCAACGAATACCGAATCAGCATTGACTATAACTGACAACCAGTTTCTCTCAAGCACAACCCCACCCCCCCCCCCCCCCCCACCAAAATAGAACTCCCGGAGAGAAAATACCTGAAAGAGACACAAACTACGAAAACCGAGAAAGGTCCGAGCCTTTTCATATATATCACACATATAAAGACGAGCAGTGTTTATATATAAATTCCATTTAGTTCGGGGGGGGGGGGGGGGGGGTAGACTTTCTTTCTTAATAAAGCCCAGTATGTTTTCAAGAATGTATTGAAAATGTAGACATATTAAGATGATTTTTTAAATACCAGTGTCCGATAACAGAATCTTCTTAAAAAAGGGGTGTTAGGTTACTGGTAGTTAACTAAAATACACACATGGCATGCCTATGTCAATGCTAACCCTGTCCCTAACCCCAACCCTTGTCATACCACTAATTTCTCAATTAATAACAAAACACCAGCTTGAAGAGAATTTATCATCAAAATATTTAATATAGATAGAGGGGGGATATTAATAAGCCTAGGAACTGCCAATGTTGTGGAGGGGGGGGGGGGGCGTAGTGACCTAGACATTAAGCCTAGCTGCTCACCGTGACCTAGACATTAAGCCTAGCTGCTTCACCGTGACCTAGACATTAAGCCTAGCTGCTCAGAGTGACGTAGACATTAAGCCTAGACGCCTGTCATGACCTAGGCATTAAGCCTAGCCTCCCACTGTGATGTAGAGATTAAGCCTAACCGCTCACGTGACGTACACATTAAGCCTAGACGCCTGCCATGACGTAGACATGAAGCCTAGCCGCCCACTGTGATGTAGTCATTTAGCCTAGCCGCTCACCGTGACGTAGACATTAAGCCTAGCCGCCCACTATGACGTCAACGACCACAACAACTCTGTCGTCAATGGAGAATTCCTGTATCGATCAAATGCCCTGCATTGTGTGGGAGGATATAAATAGATTTTGCCTGTTGACACTGCTAGACAAACCGCCACAGAGCAGAGCTGGGTTTGACCACGTGACGGTGCCATTGGCTATTGTCTGAGTAATGTGTTGTCTTTTTTTTAAAATCAGGATAAAATTACTGGTATAATCTTTCTTCAAAGACACGATAGAATGGACAGCTGTGTTAGAGAATGGGGGGGGGGGGCTTTAGATAGTGTGTGTAGGGTGTGATGTGGTGATTCCGATTTTATGTTTATTTTTCTAGTAAATGCCATTTGTGTGTGTGTGTGTGTGTGCAGTGGGGTAGCCAGGATCGTCTCAAGGGGGAGGGGGTTCCAATTTTTACCCGGGGACAAACTTTCGATTTGCACCCCCTCATACTTTATATATATATATATATATATATATATATATATATATATATATATATATATATATATATACCGAGGGGTCTATGACCCCCCCCCCCCCCTGCCTACGCCACTCTGTGTTTGTGACGTATGCCGATGAGATTGTTCAGATGTGTCGAGGCTATTTTAGTAAATTTTATATTACAGAAGGTCTAGTGACTAGTGGTTTACTGTAAACTAGAAAAAAAAGAATAAACATATAGAGACTTGGAAAAAAGGAATGGTGTATTATTTTAACAATTGTAAGCTGGCTTTATCAGACGTGTGTCTGGTGTATTGTGTGGCTGTACAGGTGGCACCTTCTGCAGCCTACAGTATGATGCAATAGCACGTGCCCTGACAACACACCTAACGTTGCCCAATACACAAGTGTGTGTGACACTGAAGTAGTTTTATCTCGTGGTTACTTAGTCACAGGACGTGTGTAGACACAAGGATTGGGTACGGTACTCCAGCCATTTGGGTTGGGCAATAAATCATGTTTAACTTTTAGTCAGTGTGCTGACTCAATGTACTTTTTATTTAAAGAGACCAGAACAAACTCCAAACAATACCTGCCAAGATCACAAAGTTTATGTATTGTTTTAGACTCTTTCTTAGTTCAGATCAAGTTTAGACCACATTTTAGATCAGATAAACTTCAGATCACATCTTAAATTTTAATCACATCAACTTTAGACCACATCTTAGATCAACTTTAGATCACATCTTAAATTTAAATCAGATCAACTTTAGACCACATCTTAGATCAACTTCAGATCACATCTTAAATTTAAATCAGATCAACTTTAGACCACATCTTAGATCAACTTCAGATCACATCTTAAATTTAAATCAGATCAACTTTAGACCACATCTTAAATCAGATCAACTTTAGACCACATCTTAGGTCAGATCAACTTTAGACCACATCTTAGGTCAGATCAACTTTAGACCATATCTTAGGTCAGATCAACTTTAGACCACATCTTAAATCAGATCAACTTTACTTTAAACCACATCTTAATTTTAAATCAGATCAACTTTAGACCACATCTTAAATCAAATCAACTTTAGACCACATCTCAAATTTAAATCAGATCAACTTTAGACCACATCTTAAATCAGATAAACTTTAGACCACATCCTAAATCAGATCAACTTTAGACCACATCTTAAATTTAAATCAGATCAACTTTAGACATCCCAGATCTCACATGCAAGCCTATTACATTATCCAAGTACAAGATGTAGTGCCCCCATAAAATAAAAATAAAATATTTTACTAATACAGTAGTGATGCTTAACCTACTTTTGATTGAACCCCACAAGTTAGGCAGAGATCAAGACACAAACTCTGTGAATGCATAGATGAAACTGGTGGGGTTCAGTACCCCCATAAAGGTTAAGAACCACTGTAATTTAGTGTAATACATCAACACATAATCTTACATTTTCCCCTAAGGTTTGTTGTGATCTGTTTATAGACCCTACAGTAGACTTTGGACAGCAATAAACACACAAAAAATACATTCTCAAGAAATTAAGTTTAATGTTTCTAAACAAATTGTATCGTTACAAAAGAACATTTATCCTCAAGAAGTAACTGAAACACTTGGTTTGAGTACAATAATCAAACAAAACCTTTGTTGTGTGCAGTAATATCATTCAACAATGTGATCTTCACATTAACCAAATCTTTTGCTACACTTGTCATAGAGCACTCAACAACTGCATACACTTTCATCACATTCACAAACTACATTTCAATTGTAACCACTAGCTAACTACTAAATATTCTACATCCACACATATCCAAAATATTCTTATTATTCACACAAATATTTCTCACAGAGATCTGGATGTTAACCCTATCCCTACAACCCTATTTCACTGTATTCGACTACAAGGCGGGTCATTTTGACCCGTATACTTTATATATAAGAATCTATTATTGCATATGTATATTTTTTATAGCACAACTATTATTTCAATGATAGATGGACACTAATATTATAGTTTATACATTTCTACACTAAATTTTAGTTTTAGGTAATTTATTATTATACTTTTTAGGCATAAATAAAACTAGACGTTACTAAATATAAAATCGTATACCTTTACTATCAATTTATTTTTCATATGCAAGAAAACTTAATCACAATTATTATCAGTTTGCACAGTAAAGCTATATAGACTAGAGATAGAACCTATATATTTAACAAATAGTTATTTTCCCATCTAACATGTATCTTGCATAATAACTTTTGGATGACGCTATTGGGCCCAACACTCAGTGGGTGGTTTCAGAAGGCTTCTTTTTGTCTACTATTACTATTTGATCTAATGTGAATTGCAGTAGCTTGGACATAGTTCTCTATACTCAATGCTCAACTTGGGACAGAACCAACTTTTTTGACAATATACAAATTTTGTAAATCTGCTGCTGTCTATTTGTAATAGCTGTCACTTTGTATTTCAACTTATTGGAGACATTAGTTGAAAATTGAAAAATATGGTCATTAGCTACCACTTAGTTTGCCCATTGGGGCATGTTGCTAGAGCCATACATGGATGATTTTATGCAGTCTTTCCATTTTGATGTCATCATTTTTGCATCAATATGCATGCTTGACACAGATTAGTAGCCAAAAACTTAGTTCAATGTAAAGTACAAAGTTACCAGAGATTGATACATTAGTTATCTCTATATCAATATCCATTGATTTATCGAAATATGGTTCCATGTACTTTCCATGTGAAAGCTGGTCAATGAGTTGGTCCTATTTTACCCAACTATGGTTGGACTGTCTGAGGTGACATGGTCTAACATCTATGGACCAGAAAACTGACCTCATCAGATGGCTTTTGTCGCAAAAGACTGCATAGATACAAATCAATATTGGCTTCCTGCTGTATCTTGATTATATCCTAAATACTTTATTGACAGTATGGCCCTAATTTCCAAATTCAGCAGCAAAAATAAGTTCAGGTCTGATTCATCGCTTTCGAAATTATACAGTAGCCAATGAACCCATGCAGTCATCAGTTGGTACATCTTTCCTTACAACTTCTCAATGAGTAGGCCCAAACCTAGCAATCCACTAGTTTCATTTGTAACAACAAGGTTGAGTCTAAAAACATGCTATCAACAATGTTGAACAAAGGATTGTTGCGCTTCGGCGCTGAATAAAATGTTTCTTATTGCTGTCTTCAGTAAGGCAGGAAGGGATACAAACTTATGAGCCCAAAAGGTCTAGCCCCAAGGGAAGTTGTTTGAAACTTCTATAGATTTATACCACTTTCCCCTGCTCTAGTAGAGTTTTTCTCTATATAAAAGTATACGGGTCAATTTGACCCATGTTAGTAGGGAGAGGAATAGTGAACCTAAACCTGCTCACCCTCATGCACACGTGCAAAATTAAACATTCATTTTTATGCTGAAATCAAGCATTGTATGTGTAGGTAGCATATCTAGAAGCTCAAAACAATTGGTCCAGTGGTTGACCAGTAATTAACTAAAATGTAGCAGTGTCGGGTCAATTTGACCCGCCTTGTAGGGATAGGGTTAAGTGACCACTGCATTCCTGACCTCATGGGAGGGGAGGGATAAGCGCAGGTGACTGCATCTATAAATATTTGTCCTAGTTACTAGAATGTTCTAAAGACTGCACTTCAGCTTATGTAGGCCAAGGTACACAAGCTAGTCACTAGGTCAGGTACATGAGGTGGTCAGGCCATGATTTATCACTCCGCAATTATCAGAATATTGTCTACATCAGTAAACACTTCTTTAGGCAGAGTGACAAATAAAAATCGTGGACAAAATATAGCCTACTAATCAGAAAAGTTTTTAAACCTCACTAAGCAAAAACTTTCCCCCCAATTTCAACACAAAAAAACAAAAATTTTTAAACATGTTTTAACTATCAGGTATTCATTCTTCATTGGGAATAAATAGTTTCAAACACTATAGTGATATAAATAAGCTACACAGCAGCAAGATAAGTGCAAATTGAAACATATTGGTGTGCAATATCTTGCGTCAGTCACTCACATATTAGTCACTGGGTCTAGTATAATTTTGTCTGAAATAAATGACAATTTTCTAGACTTAAACTTATCTGCAAATACAAACAATATATAGAGAAGAAAAAATACCAAACCAGCTTGAAAAATCCTAAACATTAAATTAGAAACATTCTTTCACTTTTCATCAACAAGCAAATTTAAAAAGGTAATTTGAAAAAAAATAAAGAGGGTTAGTAGTTAGAATTTCAAACTTGTACAAAATTTAAATACATACCCGATTTAAAAAGAGAAAGTAGAACAGGTTAGTTATGTCTAACATGTTTAATTTTTTAAAATCTCTAACCAAAAATTACAATATGAGTTATAAGTTAAATTTTTACAAAACAATAACCAGTTTGTTAAATCAACTCACAACATAAACACCCCACTGTTTCTTGCTACTATTTTCTGACAATGGCCTCTTAATGAAAATAGGTGTTAGGTTGTTGTTAGTATTGTAAAATGTTAGGGTCAGAAATTAAGGTTTGGGTAGGGTATGTTGACATTAACATGTCATAGTAGTGATTAGTGTACTACCAGAAACCTAACACCATTTTTAAAAAGATACCATAATAACCAGACACACTTTCCAAAAAAATCATATCTGATATGTAGTTTTCTTTACATAAAAAAATACAGTGTGTTGATATTCTTATTTAAAACTTCTTATATATTAAAAATGTATGTAACACACCACTATTTATATATAATACATATATACTGGCTTGTGTGTAGTATAGCAAACAGTTGACACAAGAACTATCCATTTATTCAGATCAATGATAATAAGCTTTTCTACCAGGTTATACCAATTTTAAAATAACTTGCCTAAATACTATACAAAATCAGCGGCAGTGAAAGTTATTTTTTTATTTTTTTTTATACTTGACAGAACATTCCAGAAACTAAAAAATCTCTAAGATAATTAAGTACACATTTTTGCCAACCCAATATCTCAAAATTTTTACCTTTTTAGAAATAGTACAAGTATAAAACACACATTTTTTTTTCCAGATAGTTTCAATGAGAAATTATCCACTTAACTTTAACTATCAAATGCTGATATTATTACTGATGGTGTACATATTGTAACAATACAACAATTACAAAAAAAATTAATGTTCTTTTAAAAAATAATTCTAAAATTCATAAATCTTTTTAATATCTACAGAAAAAAACATGCTGCAAATTATCAGGTATCTCAAAAAAACCTCAGTTTTTTTCTTAGAATGTAGATATTAATATAAATAAATGATGGTTATAATTGATTAATGAAGGTAATATGCAATGATTCAAGCTGTGTTTAAGTAACCAAGCCATGGCTGTATTACTTATTAAGTGGCTAATTGGAGTAATTAGTCGTTAATTCAGTCATAAATGGCACCCCCTATAGCCTGAATACAGTAAAAAACACTTAACAGGGAATGTCTCTAAAAAAACTGTTCAACAAGTGAGTCTGATCAGTGCCAATTCAGACCACAGAGCATCAATATACCTTACCATAATTTGAGACTTGACAATTAATTCTCAAGTAGCAATAATCAATATTGGCTTAGTCATACCACAATTTATTGCATAGCTCTATAAAAACAAACCCCAACTTTTAATTAACCCTGTGTTTGGGTATGATATTGATAAAAGTAATGAATTAGTAATTCATATTGATAATATTAAGAATATAAATTATCTATTTCATCAAATTCTAAAATTCAGTTTAACATTGTTTCCATAGCTATACAGTACCATTGTTTCAATAGTTAAACACAAGACATAAATAAAAGCATAGTAACTTGTAATTTAAGTAACAAATCAAAATTCAGTCCATAGTGTTACATAACGGTACACTATAACATTGGTATTGCACTTTGACTTTAAGTTCAAATTCAATACAAATAGTTTAGAGGACATCAACATTACTAATGTATGAAGCAGTCATTCTCATTCAGTCAGTTTGATTCACTAACACATCTGTCATGCTTATTATTCTCTTGCTTTACTGTACTATAAAATAGGAAGATGTAACTAGAAGAGTCTAGATGAAATAAATAGTGTCATGAAAAAACTTGTTGAAACCATCTGTGCTTCGTCAGACAAATCTTGGAACAAGGAGTCATCAAATTTAATTGGAAAAGCAAGTCTTTGAACTTGGAAACCAAATATTAAATCTAAAACTTCCTGAGAGAACTCAAATACATTCACTTTATGCCTGATGTGGGTCACAGAGCCGGTATTAGTCACATTAGGTGATCAGTGGTATCCTGGGAAACTTGTGTCCATATTTGTTAGGAAATGCAGATTTAAAACTTCGTTTTTTTTTTTGATTTTTCACTTTTTAAAATGAAGTTGAAGAACAAGTTCAGTACTGGGTTGGAATCAATATAAAAATCTAGTGAAATCTAGAATCTAAATTAGATCTAGACTACCTGATGTTCATCTTACTTTGACAGATTCTAGACTAGAAATCTAGATTTACTTCTCACCTGCTTTTGGGTTTGAAAATATGAAGAAAGTAGGTTTACATACAGCTCATAGTGTTCTTATTCTGGAGAATTCTTTTATACTGCAGTCATGCTGTAGATCTAATGTTATTTATTTACAACTGATGTATCGAGGACAGATTCGTGACAATGAGGTGAAAGACGAAATAAGATCTTAGGAAAATTTACATATTGAATGAAGACACGGATGAAATTCCATTTTGTGTTGACGTAACCTCACTTTCATACCTGCTGCTTAGATATTTAGCAGTTTCTGTCATTTGATGTAAAAGTCCAAATAAACCTCGTAGGTGATATCTGAAAGCTGCAGCGGTCTTTTTAGCATTTTCTCCGATGGGGTCTTCTTCAACTGAGTCGTCAGTGTTGTCGTTTTGTTCTTCGTCGTTTATGTTGGGTGGGCCTGCTGTGATCTCCGATCGAATTGCATGGAGCATTGCATAAAAATGGTAGAGATCGCCACTCACCGGTATAGCTGGGACAACTGCTTTGTTGTTGTTTTCTTCGTGCATATTAGAAATAGACATTGATTCAACAGGAATGTCCCGAAGACGACAAGGAATCATCACTGTGTCGTCCATCATGTCGACGGCTTGTACGAATCGATTGATAGCAGTCAGAAGAGACTGTTGTCCATCTAAAGACATATTAGATCGTCTACGACCATGATTTCCCATGCCTGACATTTCCAATAAGCTATCTTAACACTGGTTAGAAGATAAACCGAACTGAATTTAAACTACACAGGATTTAATAACTTATAACAAATCAATAATCGCCTGTTCACACACGTTGCCGGCGGCTTTGTAAAATAGCATAGGCATAGGAAATTAGGACTACGAAATGTTTATTATGTAGGTAGCATTTAACTCAAAATAAACTCAAATACAGTATTGTACCGAGTTATGTGTTTTAGTAAAATGAAATATATCCTAAATAATTAATATTTGTTTTATATGTATGCTCTTAATGAAAGAACTAGTCTTATTTAATAATATATATAGGTTTGTTAAACCTGACACCCCTTCTATAAATAAATGGACTGGATCACCAAAACATGCGAGTGAAGGTGGGTCACTGACACGAGCTCTGATTGGTGGAAAAATATCAGCAGCGAAGGGAGTGACTATCAAGGACGATTTGCGCTGTAGTCAAGGCGGCAGTACCGGTATAAACCGTAGCGTGTTGCAGGAGGGAAGGGAAGGGAGGGGAAAAAGTAAACACAGCTCTGGACCGAACATTTCCGAGGCACCAAGCGGTGATGCAACAAAGGTCACTAAGGAATCCCTTTTAATGTGCCGCGGAATGATTTTCTAGTGGAAGAACCTCACCTAAAACAATCGAAAGAAACTCATATTCTTTTTGCTTTGTAATGTATTTTAAATAGTCTATGATCTAAACAACGGAAGTGCTTTTATCCACCAACTATAAAGGAAATACGTAACGTGCTTAGATCCTCTCAGATCCAGTCGTTAAGTTTAGCATAGACGGTCTACATATTTTTTTATTTTTGAACGGAAGTGTTATTTTTAGAATTTTTAAACTCGTTGTTTTTCCATTTAATAATATTTTTTTTTTTTAGTAATTGATTAAATTGTCTCTTCAGGCGTTGAGTGGTGGCTATCAAGTGTTAATTTAGGGTTCAAATCTGTCTTTATAATATTTTTTTTCGATCGTTATTAGTGCAAATGGCATTAAATATTATATTTGTAACAGAGTTTCTTCCAGGCATCTCTTCCCTCCCCCGTCAAAATTCTACCGCCCCCCGAACGAAATGAAATTTATAGAATTTATATAGAAAATATATAATTTTAACAGTGCCCGCCCCCCCCTTCCCACCCCCGAAGAAAGTCTACCGCCCCCCCCGAAAATTTCAAGTGCCCCCCGGAGAAAAAAGTCTGGAAGAAACACTGTCTGGATAGGAGGGGGGGGGGGGGGGGGGGTCACCAAAGCTTCTGATAAGAGCCTATGAACAAAAGTAAAACTATTGTTATCGATACCCGTTTGATTGTATAGCTAGAACATATTAACCACCACCCCCCCACCCACCCACCCACCCACCAATAAACCTTATACAATTTTTAAACCCAGCTCAAACTAAAAAACCTTACGACTCTAGTCTAACTATGTGATTATGAGTTGGTATAAAGACATGGCTAATCGGTACAAACTGTTTGATATAAATATATATATAACCTTTTTTTTTTTTGCTAGTTCGTGATCTCAGAACTAATTATTCAGAATTTTATTCGCTAGCGCCAAAAAAAAAAAAAAAAAAAATAAAAAAAAAAATAAAAAAACCGCCAACGAATATTGTATTTTTTATCGTCATGAATATGTAAAGCTCATATAATAACAATGTTATGCGATTATAGCAAATCTTCTTTAAATAACTTTTTTTTTTTTAAAAATATATACGGAAATCTAATAATACTCGTTATAATGCAGTAATAGATAGGTTTTCGCGGCTATAGTTAGATAAGTTTCATAACAGAAAAAAAAATCGGTTTTCGTTGAGTGCCTCGGATTTCATCGGTGTGCCAAGATGCAGGGACGTGACCCCGCATCGTGTAGAGAAGAGACCCCAGATGGCGAAGTGACCCCAGATAATGTAGGGAGGGGACCTCAGACGTGTGTGACTCTTATGTAGGGAGGGGGCCCCAGATGTGAGTGACCCCAGTAGGGAGGGGGCCTAGATGGTGACTTGCCTCAGTAAGGAGGGGGCCCCAGATGTGAGTGACCCCAGTAAGGAGGGGACCCCAGATGATGAGTGACCCCAGTAGGAAGGGGACCCCAGATGGTGAGTGACCCCAGTAGGGAGGGGGCCCCAGATGTGAGTGACCCCAGTAGGGAGGGGGCCCCATATGTGAGTGACCCCAGTAGGGCGGGGGCCCCAGATGTGAGTGACCCCAGTAGGGAGGGGGCCCCAGATGGTGAGTGACCCCAGTAACAAAGTGGACAACTAAAATCGCAGTTTAATGATGGGGCTGAAATATGACGTTGTTAAAGGGGGAGGGGCTGAATTTTTGTGACGATGTGGTTCCGAGGGAGGGGGGTGTCAATCGTCCCAGTGAAAGTTATCCATGGAATATCCAATAGTGCATATTTCTAAATCTAGACCAATCTCAAAGTTAGACTTGTCCATGCCGTAAACTTGACTCGTGATTTTTCCAACATTCAACATCCACATCTAGTAGAGCATCGTATCGTTTGTTTGATTCGTGGCTGGTCAAGGTCGGGTGTCAGGGTCAAGTTCAAGTTTTACAAAAACTTTCAAGGCTTCTCACACGCAGTAATGAGAAAAACGAAACAAAATGTTACAAGCCAGAGTTAGCCATTTGGGCTTGGCGACCAATAAGACAGATGAAGTAGGCCTACGCCTTTTTCTGTGATCTCTGCGTATGAAAGAATCGTGTGCTCCAGTTCCAGTGTTTCTTTCAGATTTTTTTTCTCCAGGGGGGGGGGGGGTAGCACTAAATTTCCTGGGGGCGGGAGAGGGGGCTAATACTGGTAAAAGAGTCTCTAGTTCAAAACACTCTGGCAAATAAGGCTCGATCCCTCCCAACACTAAAAATTAAGAACGAAGAAGAAGACTGGTAAAAGTATATATCTTCTATTCTATTTTGTTCGGGTGTAGGGGCCCGGTAGACGTTCTTCGGGAGGGGGGGGGGGGTTGCTCTGTCCAGTCCAGTTCTATTCCCGCCTTTACTTTCCCTAACATGACTAAATCTCAATCACCCATCAGAGCTGGGCGGACTCAGTGAAGTCCTATGGACTCGAGGATGTGATCCGAACTCGGCAGTGTTTCTTCCAGATTTTTTTTTCTCCGGGGGGGGGGGGGGGGGGATTAAAATTTTTCGGTGGGCGTACTAAAATTTTCGGAGGGGGGGGGGGGCGGACGCTATTAAAAGTATTTATTTTCTATATAAATACCATTTCATTCGGAAGGGGGCGGTAGACCTTCTTCGGGAGTGGGGGGGGGGGGGGGTGGGGGGGAGGGGGATAAGATATGTGATTATTCATCAGTTACAAATCAACCTTCTACCAATACTGTCGTTGTGCAATAACATTTTAAAAAAAAAGAAATATTGTGTGAGAACCGTTACAGTACAGCTTAGGATAACAAACTGATAACAATTTTTTATCTGGAAACTATGGGGGAATATGTGTATCACACACGGCTAGTATGATTGATGACGTCAAATGTTAGTTTTTTTTTCTTACACACTCGCCTACTCTCCAACCCTGGTGATAATGTTTTAAAAAATTACAATATTTGGACCAACAGATCAGTCCTTGGTCACTGGAAGGCCTACGTGGTACGTGGTCACGTATGGGGTGAGGGAATCAGCACTGTTGGCTTAGCCGTACCCTAATTTGGGGTTGGTGTCAAGGCAGGTATGAAAGGGGTGGGGCTGAATTGGTACGTACTGGGGAAGTGGGCGCTATTTCCGGGGTGATACAAAATGGTAAAATTGCACGTATAAAATATGAATTATACAGTATAAAATGGGAGGAGAGGATGAGACCAAAGATAATTGCAAAAATTGAATATTGGTATGGGGGGGGGGGCATGACACCCTACCTAGTGACGCCACTAGTTGGGTTTAAGGTTAACTGAAGCAAGAATTATGTTACGGAATGCTCCCTGGTTGTAACAGAGATAAGAGCTTGGATATGTTTTGGTTTTTGTTAGGTTTTACGTTTAGCTAGAGCAGGGGTCTCCAAACTACGGCCCGCGGGCCGGATGCGGCCCGCGATGTCCTCTCATCCGGCCCGCGGAGATTTTTTTGTCCACGGAAAAAAAGTTTGTTGGTGATGGCTGAGGAACTTTGCCCAGAAAAATCAAAGTCATGCCCGGAAGAAACTGGTCCCCGAACTGAAATTTGGTAGTTGATGCGGCCCTCGAACTGAAAAGTTTGGAGACCCCTGAGCTATAGGGACAGCTAGCCTCACGTATAAACCCAAAGGTGCACATACTCTCAAGCTTGAATTGGTTTTAAATTCTCTGAATATTAGCCTTCAGTGGGTTAGCTTAATTAAGTAATTTTTTTTATATGGCAATGGTAGCTTTAATGTGACGTGTATACATCCGACCCCGCCATACCACTTCTTCCTGGATATATGGCCACGCCCTTCCCCTCCACATACACACACATACACACAATCGTCAAATATTTATTTTATTCTGTTTCACTCCCCCCCCCCCCCCATTCCCCGAACAAAATAGAATTTGTATAGAAAATATATACTTTAACCATTGTCCGCCCCCCCCCCTGGAAATTTTAGACCGCCCCCCCCCCCCCAAAAAAAAAATTACAAATGCCCCCCCCCCCTCCTCCCTTCCCCCTTCCCCCCCCCCCCCCCCCCCCCCCCCCGTTGAAAAAAAGTCTGGAAGAAACACTGGTTTCGGTTGCACCTGAAATTCAAAATGACAACATTGCCCTTTTTAAAAAAAAAAAGAATTAAAGTAATCAACACTGAGCAGGGTGTCATTTCTTTTCTTTTCTTCTTCTTCGTTCTTAATTATTAGTGTTGAGGGGGATCGAGATTTATCTGCTAGTGGGTTTGAACTCGAGACTTTATTCGAATTTATCAACCATGTGCTTTTTTTGACGACTCGACCACGCCTCCAACACAATTAAGCGGTACGTGTCAACTGGTTATGCGCCATTGAGGCCATTGACTCCGATTTCAGCCTGCTTTTCTTTTTGGATTTGCTTCCATAGCCTTTGTCCAACCAAGAACGAACTACAAGGCAGCAGTTGTTTTAATTTTGGAGTTGTCTCTCCTAGAAGAGTGGCTGTCCCCAGCTAACGAGCCTCATCTGCCCGAGGGTTCGAACTCGAGACTTTTCGGTTTAGCAACCATGAGCTTTACCGACTCGACCACGCCTACCCCAGGGTGTCATTTAATGTCACATGGTGTGGTTTGTATTCAGAGTGTTTTTGGCGGGCATCTGTTGTGGGGGAGGGGGG